AGAGATGGGTCACTGAATCCAATATTGATCTCCCAACCTTTAGTTCAATCTCTCTCATTTCTAGGGAGATTGAGTACTGATGTAAGTATCATGATTTTCAATTATTAAGGTAATTAAGACTACAAAACTATTGGACAAGATTTGGGGAAGGCATTTATATCCTAATTACTAATGTCAATTTTTTTTTTAACGTCCTTAGTTGGCATCATTTTTAATATCTCAAATTTTGAAAATGTCGAGGAATTTAGGATGAGATAATCTGTTTGAAATTCACATTAGACAGTTTTCTTTGCTTCATAAGGTGTCAGTTAGCATTTTATTTTAAGTAAGAACATATCAAAGATGAATAAAATTGAAGCATTTGTTTCTCACTAATTATTGAATCTACAGCTATCTATTAGAAAACCTAAACATCTTAAATAACTTCAAGTTTTCTCTACTTAAATTCTGTTTATTGTATTTTTAAAATAAGGAAACAAAATCTTTTTTGTTGCTCATTAAAATAAAATCCATTTTAATAAAGAAATATGATACTAACATAATTCTGCTGAGTAGATTGGTAAATGCTTACATTTAATTAAAAGCTCTTAAACTTAAATTGTAAAATTCCGTAAAGAGAACATGAACTTGAGCCAGCTGCCTATGCATCTTAGCAACTGTTTTGTGTCTGCTAACAGTATGACTGGAAGACTTGTGCTATGTCTACAAAACTCTGCCATGAAGTACTTAAAAATACTTGGTGAATAATTTGAGGTCAGCTGGCAATAAAGCTTTGTGTGAAATGCCACTAAAAAAAATCTATTAACTATGGTACCAGTATATTCAAGTCAAGCTGTTAAAATACATTCATATAAACATAGAAAAGATTATACATACACTGCGTAGAGTTCTGTGGTTTGACTCTTGAAATCCAAATAAAAGTTATATTAGCCTTAGAATAAAATTCTAAAATAGAGCAGTGTTTTATAAGGACTCGTTCATCCAAGAGGTGGAAACATTAATTATTCCATCAGGTTGCACCGTTAGTACAAAATAGAGCAGATCATGATTTTGGAATCAGATATCTGTTTTCACCATAATACAGGTGCCCCCACCCCCACCCCATCCCCTGCCTCACCCTACAAAGACACTTTTTTAGTTTGCAATAATTATAGCTTTTGCAACTGTCTGATAACAGTGTGGTGATAAGAAAGAAGGGGGATGAAATTATTTCAACAACTGATTAAACAAAGGTGAGCTTAATTAATTAAGATAATGCTGTTTAAAACGATTCTCTGTTTTCTACTATTCTGAAGGCTAGTGAGATCAGATACTTGGAAAGCAGGTGGAAAATGAATTATATTTTAAATGTAATGATTGGTACATTGGCAATGTGTAAACTCAAAATGTTTCCTTTTAAAATAAGGAGAAAAGAGTTTAGTAAGGCCATTTCTCTAACCTGTTGGCAAGAGCATTTGTTCCTGAGACAGTAAGAAAGAGCAAGAGAGAGGGAGAGACTTGGAAGATACCCTTGGAGGTCTTAGGTCTCCATAAAGTTGGTAGGCAGGTGTCTGCTATACAGTCAGATACATAATAGATGCTCAGTAAATTTTGTGCAATAAATTGGCCTTTGAGGAGATAATAAAATTGGATGACATGCATGATTGTGGTAGTGAATTAAATTTTGTGTGCAAACACCAGTATGAAGCCAATCTGTGTCTGAAGTATTTGCAAAGGCCATTTCTCTGCTATGGTTGTATTGCTGTGATTGAAATACTGTGATATTTATTTTGATGAGAAAATGGAATACTGTACCTAACAATTGAATCATTTGGTGAAATAGTCTAATATGATGGTCTAAAGTGCTAAGGGAAGTCCTCATGGATTTATGAGTAATAAGAAATGTTAGAGCTCCTTATCCAAGTGGAAAATGGACACAAAGAATGTTATACTTTGTTCATTGGAGCTAAAATTAGAAGATATAAAGTGAATTCCAGGGTTTTTATTTAATGAAATTGAGTAGACTAAATAAAAGTGATAGCCAATGAAATTATTATATAAGTTGATTCTCAATTAAAGTTCTTTCTTTTCTGGAAAAACATTTTATTTTTAAATTATTCATTTTTTTTATAAAATATTTAGGTGAACATCATGACGTGTCAGTTCCTTTGGCATGTTGACATTTGACACAATGACAACCTAGTGTCTTCTCTCTC